ACCAAAGCTGTGTTCTTCAAACTAGCTCACAAGATATCAACTACTTTTACTGTATTTCTTCTAATAATATACACTGGTTGTACAAGCATGACCACATTTCTAGCCAAGATATATGGTTTTACATAATGTACTTGGGTGCCTATGACCTTTGCACATTAATGTATATTTAACATCAGCCTTGACTTGCACTATGTGGCCAAAAGAATGTGGACACCTGGCCATCACACCCATATGAGCATTTTGGGCTTCTCATTCCAAAACCATGGGCATTAATATGAAATTGGGTTCCCCTTTTGTGGTTATGACAGCATCCACTTTTCTGATAAAAATCTTTCTACAAGATTTTGCAGTCTGTTTTGGACAGTTTCTGAGTCTGTGTGAATGTATCCAGTCAGTAATGTTCCAGTTAATCTCAAAAGGTGTTCAAAGGGGTTCAGGTTAGAGATTTGTACAGGCCAACGAAGATTCTCTAGAAAAAAAAAAACTCATCAAACCATGTTCTTATAGATCTCGGTTTGTGCCCAGAGGCACAGTCATGCTGGAACAAGAAAGGGTCTTCCCCAAACTGTTGCCACAAATTTGGAATCATATAACTGTCTTTTTATGCTGTAGCATTAACATTATTTACACTGGAACTAAGGGGCACAAACCTTGAAAAACAGCCTCGGACCATTATCCCTCCTCAGCCAAACTTTACTATTGGCACCATGCATGACGGCAGGTAGCGTTCTCATGGCATTCGCCAAATTCTGATCACTCAGACTGCCTGATAGTGAAGTGTGATTCATCACACTCCAGAGAACACATTTCCACTGCTCCAGAGTCCAGTGGCAGGGTGCATTACACCACTCTAGCCAATGCTGGTCATTGCACATAGTGATCTTAGGCTTGTATGCAGCTGCTTGGCCATGAAAACCCATTTCATGAAGCTCCTGACACATGTGCTGATGCTACTTCTAGAGGCAGCTGCAACTGCAGTTAAGTGATGCACTAGAGGACAGGCAATTTTACACGCTACGTGCTTCAGCACTTAACGGCCCCGCTCTATGAGCTTGTGTGGTCTACCGCTTTGTGGCTAAGCTGCTGTTGCTCCTACACACTTCCATTTCACAATAATTGACCAGGGCAGATCCAGCAGGGCAGAAGTTTCACAAACTGACTTGTAGCAAAGGTGGCATTCATGATAATGCCAAGTTTAAAGTTACTGAGCTCTTCAGTACGACCCATTCTACTGCCAATGTTTGTCTATGAAGACTGCATGACTATGTGCTTGATTTTATGCACCTGTTAGCAATGAATGTACCTGAAACACCTGAACTCAATATTTAGGAGGGACGTCCACATACATTTGCACATATAGTGTATGTACATGAAAAATATCCAGTATTGGCATCAGCCTACAATTCCCTTATCAGTGCAGCCCTAACAGTAAAAGATGGCAAAACACCTCAAAGCTCTTAAGATCGCCCCACCACGTCAGGTCATTTATCGAAATAAAATGAACGATGGCAAGAGCAGAACTTATCTTTATTAGCAAGCTACTGCATAAGATATGCAGCCTAATCTGCCTCTGTGTGATGAATGAGAAAAAAACAAGTACAAGAGCCACCTCAGAAACACGAGCGCAAGAGGACCTGACGTATCTCGTAAACATGCAGACCTTCAAAGGGTTCAAAAGACCTGCAATCTAATCTCCCCATCAATCTTTAGCCACATTTGACAAAGGAAGCCAGGTTCCACCACCAGATCAAGCAATCATCCAGACACAGCATGTCAAATTCTCACAGACAAGCCCCAAAACACTATTGAGTTTTCTACAGCAAAGCACTTCATCACACCACAGAAGTTGTTTGCTTCAGCAGAAGGGGCTTCACTCACAAGAGGAGTTTTGTTCTGCGAAACTTTCCAAACAACTTCTCACATCAGTTTATTTGAATTTTCTTTAGACTCATCTTTCCACATTTGGACAGTTGTCATTTATGGTTTCTTCTCCATTGACCAGAGGTAGGTAGAGCAGCTGAAATCCATGAAAGTACTGAAACACATAAAATAATGACAAGTACCATTCCAGAAAACAACTTGAGTTGAAGTAAAAATGTAGCAGGTCGAACAAACTGAGTAACGTCTAAAACAGCAGGGGAATGTCTTAGCCCAGGGGTACACAACTCCAGTCCTGGAGGCCACAGCACAGCCACTAAACCTGTCAATTAACAAATTAATGAGTTGTTAAAATTAGTTTGGTTGCTGCTGTTACATCTGTCAGCTTCAACTATTAGGCCTATTCCTGTTTTTTGCCCCCTGTTTAATGTCTGCTCTTAAAGTGAACCTGAACCTAGTTTTGCAGTACCGTGTATGTACGTAATATTTGAGTATGCAAATCATAGCACTTTTGCTTCTGTTCTACTATATTTAAGAGTAAAAGTCTACTGAGCTGGTCTCACCTCTGATATTTGAGGTTGATCATTTTATTTTAGACCACCAAAAGTATGGACAGTACTATGAAGAGTGCATAACAGACTTCAGTTCCTGTGCTGATAAGTCACCAGCACTATTCTTGGACATCTCCTTTCCCAAAGCATCGAGGTACAACCTGCATCTGACATGTTGCCCCCCCTTACCTAACACTAATGCATCTGATCCAGCCAGTCAGGGACTTCTAGAGAAGGTAATTGTCTGGAGCCGGTGTGGCAGATTGTGGCTGGAACTAGACTCTGCAGGAAGGTAGATCCTCCAGGACCAAGGTTGGTGGCCAATTTGATAGTTGTCAGATGGGCTAAGCCAGGGATGCTCAACTCCAGTCCTGGAGGGCTGGTGTAATTTTTTCCTGGAAGGTTCTTTACTGTGGTGGTTTATATTACAACTTGCTCACACAGCACAACTTAGTACAGCTTCAAATCTTTTTCCAGTGGTGGCGAGTGGAACCAGACATCCAAAATGTACCTCAGAAAGCTATTACATGAACTGGTTGTGAATACTTTGCCTAATGCCAGAGACCCTGTTTTGCAATATTTTTGAGAAATGTACTTATTTTAAATACATTCATGGCGAGAGGTACATGCAGGATGGTGCAAGGCAAAATAGTATGTGTTCAAATTTGCCAATATTTTACCAGTACCAACATTACATATAAAAACACATGTAGGGTAGTAAATAAAATAGCTATGTCGTGACATCTGGTTCCTATCACCACCATTGGTAAGAAATCTGAAATGGTAAGTTTCTCTACAATTGTCCTTTTCACAGCAAACCAGCATGAAAGACTTCATGCACATGTCAACGACTAAATTATGTTGAAATTTAGAAAAATCAGTGAATTTCACCTTTAAATACTTTTAATTGTGTGAATGTAACTAGTTAATACCCACCTCTGGCTCTGAAGTGCTAACACAACAACAAAAAAACTGAATAATGTACTCACAGTCGACAGATGTAAAGGCAGCCACCAATAGAAATATTTCTCTACTGGCTGAATTCCTTTCTCGGGTGGTCCATGTTACAACTTAGTCACAAAGTACAACTTGGTGTTCTTTCCACCACTTTGTTTTCCTACTGAAACCTCGAAGTGACATTAAGAGCCTGGGACATAACTGCTAAGTGCGAAACCCTGGGAGTGGGTTATGGACCAACACTCTTGGCTTTCAGGCACAGGCTGCTGCTACTGCTGCCCATACAGGAATCTGATATGTAGCCACAAATGGACATATCAGAAAGAGTCAGTCATATATTTTAAATTATACGCACATATATGTTGTGTACACAGATGTAAGCATCAAATAATGGTCATATATGCATAACATATGGATCACTCATATCGATGCTACTTCCAAAACGATAACTTTAGAGGAGAATGTCCTTAACTTTGAATAGAAGTTAATGGAAATACATCTTATTCAAGAAATCTTAGTGCCGTTCTACTGATCTAATTGTCATTTTAGCATGTTGTAAATGGCACCTGGCATTTTCAAATGATGTAAAAAACAAAAATGGAGAAGTTTTGTTCTGACAGCAGCAATATAAGTCTATGTATGCCTGATAGGATGGTGAATACATACTATGCATAATATATAGATCATATATGTCTGATACATGGCTGAATCTATCCTAGTATAGTTATAACTATTACTATTACCTGCATTTGTTCAAATATTAAACTATTCAGATGTGTTATTTCATGCTTTAATGACTTTATTGCACAGCTTACAAGAGTTTAGTTATGAAGCTATTATACTACACTTCATTACAAAGTACGTTGAAGAAACAAAAAAGGTGCACAAAAAAAACGTACGTAACATAAAGCCAGCATATATGAGTACTATATGCCATTCATACAGTCATATCATACACTGTTGTAAATATATTATGCACATATGTTTGTATATGTTTATGGCTGAAATATATGTCCTACATTTGAAAACAGCCAATTTCAAATAAGTTGGTACGTATGTCACATATACGTCCATATGTGGCAAATGTACGTTGGATATATAAGGGAACCCCATATATACACTACAATGTGTCACATACTTGAACTCTAGATATAACCATATATTATATTTTTGTTGTTGCCAGTATATTTTGATATTTTGCTCAGTTCGCCTTCCAAACCTCAGCGTGTATATTTTAGACAGCTTTTCTGGGAGCCTGTCGATGATGGCACCTGGTGAGGGAGCCCACACGGGCGAGTGGCCAAGAAGCAGCGGTTGAGGAGCTTTAGCGTTCCCGATGTAGCTCGTCTTGTTCGGGAAGGGGTTGGTGGTGCTTAGAGCAGCCTGGTGGACTTCAAATAACTCGGATAAAAGGGTTCGTGGCTTCAAAGAACACTTAATTTGGAAATACCAGAAGAAAAAAACCTAGCCACTCCAAGCGAAGAGCGAAAAAACACTACGAACACGTTAAAAACAACAGAAGAGTAAGTGAGTCTGCTGGCGGCAGCTGCAGCGTTACTTTGTGTTTGCTAACTTAGCTTAGCGCGTTAGCAAGGTACGGCAGTTTCTTCTTACCTGCACAAACATTCATCCACTTCGCCGAAGTTTTCCCCACTCTAACTCCTCGAGCAGAAATTATCCACTGGACACATGATGTTTGTCCATAAAGACCAGCAGACCTCACGCTGTTCAGTAACACAGTCACTTCTCCGCGTTTCGAGTAAAACTTTTTTCTTTTGTGTCTGAATTTCGAGCGAACACCGTTTACTCTGGACTCTTACGCCATGATGGGATTCATCGCTCTCCTCCTGCGCATGCGCACTGAAAAGCCCAAACGTGCCACCTAGCGGCGAGACCCGTTTAAAGGGCAACTCCAACGATTTTTCAAAATTTCTGCATAGTTGAACGGTTAAGATGTAAACAAAGGCATCCAGAGTAGTTTGGTGTGAATGCTCCGTTCTAGAGAAACATCCAGTCGGATTTTCTCACAGTAATGGTGATAGGAACCAGACTTCCACCTCTGAAAGCTCCTTCGCAGAAAGTTGTTACATGAAATGGTTATGAATGCTGATGTCTGAGACATTGTTTTGGCCTAAAACGTATTATAATCAATGTATTTTAATCTATTCATGGTGGAGGGATATATGGCAGGTGTTCTAAAGCAAAATAGCCCCCCCCCCATGTATATTTTTTTTTCAGATTTATCACTATTCTACAATCAACATTACACACAAAAACTCAGAAGACACTCGTGGGTTCAATGGTGGTTTCTGGACAGTAAATAAAATGCCTAAATTTGTGCTGTAGACATAGTGACCCCTGGTTCCTATCAGCACCATTGTAAAGAAATCTGAGTCAGTAAGATTCTCTACAAATGAACCATTTCGAACCAAACCACTCTGAATGACTTTGTTTACATCTCAACCACTGAATTATGTAGACATTTTAAAAAATCTGTGGAATTCCCCTTTAACCCTATACTGTCCATCAGTGTCCAGACCCCTCTTACAATTAGCACATTCAGCTGTTTTAATATTTTGATATGAAACGGGCCGTTCTGGAGAAACGTATTGAGTTGGAATTGGTCACAGTGGTGGCGATAGGAACCAAACGTCTGACATGTTAAATGCCTCTAAAGGTTACATCACAAAAAGCTATTACATAAAATAGTTGTAAATACAATATCTGATGTAAGTGACATTGATTTATAAAAGTACTTAAGGGGAATTTCACAAGTTTTCCATACAGTTTAAGCACTGAGATGTGAACAAAGTCATTCAGAGTGGTTTAATTGTAGAAAAAGACTACTGACTCAGATTTTCTTTACAGTGGTGCTGATAGGAACCAGGGGTCATGATGTCTACAACACAAATATAGGCATTTTATTTACTATCCAAAACCAGCAGGGAACCTACATGTTATAGATGGTAAAACAGTGGTAAATCTCCTACGTAGCTGCACATGAGCTTAAGGTCCTCATGCCCAGTACAAAGCTTCGACTAGAGGGGTATAAAGCCCCCCAGCTGTGGAACTGCATTCTCTTCTGCAAATCTTTGGGTTGAATTAGGGTGGAGTTTCTGACCCAGAACTCATCATCCAACACCAGCACCTGACCTCACTAATGCTCTTGTGTCTGAATGCAATCAAATCCTCACAGCAATGTTTCAACATCTTGTGTAGTGTAGTGTAATTTGTCTATGTAAATAAAATGGTGCATCATTTCTGCTTTTATTTTAACATAAGTCATCAATGATGTGTTTGTAAGATATTTTTTCTGCCAATATTGTGATTCACACAAATTATGTTAAAAAACAAAAAACGACAACAGAAAGAACAACATATTTGTGCTGCCCCTTGCGATCTGAGGGCCAGTAAACATCTGTTTATACTGCTTATAACTAGTAGAAAACCACAGGAGCCCTGCCAGGTAGAGCGAGATAATATTATAAATAAGTGCTGTCAAGTTGTTTCCGACTCCTGGTGACTAAATGGATATATGGACTACATGGATAGTGTTTCTCCAGAATATCCTGTCTTCTGTTTGGGGGAAGGAGATAAGCACCTATTTTTACTCTTTTTCTGTTTATGATAGAAGTATGTCAAAATATTCACTTAATATCTCGAAATAAAGACTTATTTCCACAAACCTTTAACTTAGAATCTCAAAAGAATGAGTTATTAAATTTCGAGAACTTAATCAAGATATTAAGTCAATATTTTGAGGAAATAAATCATTATTTTCAGATATTAAGTCATTATGTTTGAAAAATAAGTCACTATTTCAAGATAAAATGCCAATATTTTGAGATATTAAGTCAACATTTCGAAAACAAAAGTAATTAATTTGACATATGAAGCCAATATTTTGAGAAAATAAGTCATTACTTTGAGAAATTATGTCAACATTTCGAGAAAATAAGTACTTATTATATCTGGTCAATATTCTGAGAATATGTCATTGTTTTAAATATATATTTCGAGGGCAAAAAAAGGTCAATATTTTGAGATATTAAGTCAGTATTTTGAAAAAAAAGTCATTATTTTAACATATTAAGTTAATATTTCGAGAAAATAAGTCATTATCTCGAGCTATTAAATCATTATTTCAAGAAAATGTGTTATTATTTAGAGACATTATGTCAAATATTCGAAAAACTAAGTAATTATTTTTAGATATGAAGTCAATATTGTGAAAAATTAAGTAATTATTTTGAGATATTAAGTCCATATTTTGTAAAAAATAAGTCAATATTGTGAGACATTAAGTCAGTATTTTGAGAAAATACGTCATTATTTTGAGATATAAACTCTTGATATGCTGCTAGAAACAGAGAAGGAGAAAAACAGGCGGAAAGAAACAGGCCTGTGTGTAGAGTTGTGTCTCAGGGCTGTATTTTACTGGCACTTTATTGCTCTAGTTCTTCCACAGGTGCACTAACGTTAAAAAACCTTCATTTTTACGTCACTCATACTGACTAATATGTTACTTTCTAGTAAAAGTAGGTAACGAGTTACTGATATGCAATGAAAATAATCACGCATTTGAAAAAGTGACGTAGTTAGAAGGAGCGGCGACCCTGCACGGTTTTATGTTCCTCCCGACAGATGGCAGGAAAGCTGCGCTGTTCACAGCACTTTCTCCGTCCGAAAGGAGAGTGGAGTGGATGAGGGCGGAGTCTGGGAGGAACCGTGCTAGAAAGACACGCCGCTCCTGGGTCCTTTTATTTCCCCACCTGTATTCATAACCCCGCCCCCCCGCTGGGTGTTCGCCGTCTCCTCAGACAGAATAGGCTCGTAAGCAGCCCGCCAATCCTAGGGCAGTATGCAAATTAGCACCACAACAACTAGTCAATCCCTTGTGCGATATGCAAATCGATGGGCCGTTTGAGCGCAGAGTATCTACATGGCTCTGCTTTGAGAGTACGCACTACTAGCCAATCAAAGCGCGGGGGCGGGGATTTCTTCGGAATACGGGTGGGAAAATAATAGCTCCTTGGCAACGGACTGCCGGAGTCATGTATTCAAAGCGTCTACGTTTCTAGGATTGCTGGGAACATTCCGCCTGCTGCTAACCAAAACAGCGCTTACCGATGAAAACTGACAAGAAGCACTGACTGAAAACAGAGTCGGAAGACTGAGGAATTAACTTTTTTTTGCAAAAATCCACCTGCCAGTACCCTCATGAGACTCCATCAGTGTTTTGAACTGTCACTTGCTCTTCGCGTTTCCAACAAAGGAAAAAAAAATGCTCGTGGAGTTGGCAGGTTTCACTCGTCATGAGGGGTGAATAAGCAACAACATAGGAAAAAAACTCGCTAAACTCGCTCGTTTTGGCTCAGTTCGTCAAACAAAGGAGAAGGGAAAAGTGACTTCAGTCTCCCACGTAAGGTGTCTGTCCGGGCTGGTGGTGAACGCTGTCATGCCTAACAGCAGGTTGGTGTAAGTGCGGCAAGTGCGAATTCGTGTGAGGGATTTTTGTGCGAGCCTGAAGCAACATGAGCTGTTTCTGCTCGGTGCAAGAGGAGTTTTACTGCGAGGTGCTGCTGCTGGACGAGACCAAGCTCACCTTAACCTCTCAGCAGCAGGGCATTAAGGTGAGAAATGCGCACTTTTAGCTCCTCAAACCTCTCTCGACCTCTCTGCTTTCTTTGTCTGGATGCTGTTCCAGGACATTCGCATCAGTTCCACACCTATTCCAGAGCCAGGCTCGTCATATGTTAGTGTGCCACACCTAGCAGACACAATGGTAACATTCAACACACACTGAGTGAAAGGCAGAAATCTGTGGGAGCCCGCTTCTGCTACTGGAAAAAAAACACATATATGTTGCCATTCAGTAAATCATAATAATGAGAAAATTGTCCATAATTTTGACGTAGTTTCTCACAATTATGACTTTGTATCTCATAATAATCACTTTTTGTCTGATAATAAAGAGAAAAGTTTCTCACAATTATGAGATTCTAAGTCATATTTATGTAAGACTATGTCATAATTATGAGATACCAAGTCATAATTATGACATAGTCATTGTTATGAGATGTTAAGTCATAATTATGAGACTGAATCTGATTTTTATGAGATACTGAGTCATAGTTATAAGATGATAAGTCATAATTATGACATAGTAAGTCATTATTATGAGATACCAACTCAGAACTATGAGATATTAAGTCACAATTATGAGATTGAATCTCATTATTATGAGATACGAAGTTGTAATGGAGAGATGCAAAATCGTAATGACGAGATGCTAAGTCATAATTATGAGACAGTAAATTGTAATTATGAGATTGTAACTCATAATTACGACATAGTAAGTCATTATTATGAGATACTAAGTCATAATTATGAGATATTAAGTCATGACGTTTTAAGACATAATGATGGTTGAATCTCATAATTATGAGAAAGTCATATTTCTGAGATACTAAGTGGAAAACCTTCTGGTTATTATGACGTACTAAATGGCTATAGATTTTTCCCAGGGTCAGAAATGGATGTCCATAGAAATCATCATTGGCTCGTCATTGTGCTTTTCAGGGAGGCTTGTAAGCGACAATGATTGGCCATGATTTTGGGAAAAACGCACTCTGCAAATTCTGTAGCTTTACAGTAAAACTCTACAGAGGAGCTGTGCTTATTAGCTTTACTTGTTTATTTTCACACATGGACAAGCAGCACTGGTCAACAATTTTTGTGTCTGATCCTCTTTTCTAACTTTTAAATGCATCATTTATATTCATTTGGGCCACATTCCCTCTGAAAGAATGTGATCAACATAAAAGACCCTATAAAGACTGAGT